GTGACGGTGGAAAAGGGGAGGGAAGGAAGGGGGTAGGCCTGGCCCAGACTCTGATAGCCGAGTGCCTATCGCTCCTCGTTAAAATTCTCCTTAAGCTTCACTAGACAATTCCCCCTTCCGCCGGCCAGACTCCTGTGGGCCAGGTAAGTTATTAGTGGGGAGAAAACGATGAGTAAATGCCAAACAGGAACTATAAGTGGTTAGAAAGTCAATAAACAAAAAAGAATAGTGCCATGCTGACAATAAATGTTCTGATAGCAGTTAGAGAAAGGCTGAAAGATAAATACCAGTTTTGCTGATAAAATAATACATGCGTCTGTGCTGCTCAAGTCAGTCTCATTCTTAATTTTGTAAGCTACAAAGAGGCCAATCTGGCAATTAAGGAATATACTAGGCCTAGGCCTAATCGCTCTGTGGGCTGACGATGGATTTGTCCATGGGACTGACGTCATCGCTAGGCCTAAGCCAAGCACGCCGTGTGTTTGGCCCCGTACGTAGTACGAAGTTCCGCGATGTGACGGCTTGACGGGAGACGATTTAAAGTTACGAGCCGGCGCGATAACAAACGTGAAGGAATGAGGTTATGTTGCGACAAAGCAGCAGTGAATCCCACTTGTCTATTTGAGCGCCTTCAAATCGGCCAGATGTTTTTGAATGTAGATACTTGTTTGTTTGGATTTACTTAAAACTGAATGAAAATCGTCATCAGCAATAAACCTCTAGTCAACAGTTCAGCTGACAAAAATCTGAGCGGCACCGCCGGTCTTACCCAGTTAACAAACCGCCCCTGGAGGTTTTCATGACTGAGAAAGTACGATAGGGGCTCCTGCACAAAGGCTGGCACTACAGACTGGCATAAGGTTGCAAGGAAAGTACACGGTGGAGGTGCACAAGAAAATATTGTATTGCCACTATCACAACAGATCCAGGGCACAACGCCATACTGCAATCTGGAAAAGAGCACAGTCATCAACTTCAACCGCCATCGCAGCATGAAGAGGAAATGTGTGCAACAAGAAAAAGTCTCAAACGAAAATCGATTGAACAGTCAACTGAGCGACCATCCAAGTTTGTGTGCAGAGCCGTGTCTTCCATGGCTACGATAACAACAAAAGACGTTCAAAACCTATGTCGTCCAGTGCGTGGTATTCGTCTGAAAACAAGGCCGAAGCTCCGTAAAAGACGCCTGGAAACGCTGCAGTCCCTCAAAGAACTTTTTCCCCTGTTCGTAGTCAGCTTCGATAATGATTGCGAAATTGTCCTCATCACTCCGACCGGATACATTAAATTCTTCTCGTCATCATCCCATGCCTTGGCCAGCGGCACTTTCTCCTTTTGCCCTAAATATTTTTACCAACTATAATAAAATAATATACTTTTCATGGGACACAACATGGACATTTTTGTACTCTGCATGTTCTCATTACTCCCAGACAAAAACGAAAAGACATATTATCTAAGACTCTTAGAACTGCTGAAACAAGTTTGCTCTGACAAGGGATTTCATTAGCAGCCGCAGTATTTCCATGTGGACCTAGAGGACGCATTAATGTCAGATTTGCGGTGCACTCTATCGGAGACAACCCTGTCAGTTCCACGTGGGCCAGGATATGGTTCCGCAAGCTGCAACAGATTGAACTATAAGTCAAAAACTCCAACTGGACGCTGGTTAAAACTTTTTTTAGCCTGCCAATCCTCAAACCGGAGGAACTAGAAGACTGTTTTGCTTTCACCCACATGGCCGAATGCCAAGAAGAAAATGACGAAACAACGAAATTTCGCTGATAACGTTTCGAACAATTACATTTCGGAAGCAGCAAGGTATTCCTCCTAGTTTGCGGGCTGGACAGGAAACTATTAGGACAACGAATGCGTGTGAAAGCTTCCATAGCCACTTTTCTAACCATTTTACTTCCCCTCATCTGAATATTTTCTCATTCATGGAAAAAAACTAGCAGATGAACAACAAAAAACAGCTATAACCATAACATCATCATCCCACGAGCGCAGACTGCCTGCCAGACGTTACAGCGAACGTGAAAGACTAAAACAGGGACTTGTCATAGCTTACAAGAGTCAACAGCCAACGTGTGCAGAGTTCTTCGACAAGATGGCCCAAAGAATGTTTCCAGTGAGAATATAAATATCGCTTTGAACTCCACTTTTATCAAGCATTTTAATCAGCGATTTTTAAGAAAAGTGCTCTCATAAAGACATTGCCGTGCTCGAAATTCGTCTTCCACCTCCCCATGGTGAACAGGGGGGCAACAAACATCCACACTGTTCTGTCCTGAAAAAATATCAATGAAATAAAAGTCTTGATAATTGGCTAACGGAAGAGGTCTACTACTTCAACGTATAAGCTTAATATAGAATTTCAAATAGATACTTTGTTAAATACCTAAGAAATACTCAATACTAAAAAATCCATTCACAGTTTTCCAACATCTTTTGGAAAACTCCTTTGAACTTTTTGACAATATGATTAAAAACTGCACAATCTTCCGCTGCCTTATTTGGCCCGTCAGGATGGCGCATCATTGTACATTAAAGGCAGATTCGAGCCACTTCGACAAAGATTTATATCGTTCTTTCTAGTGCAGGGTGACCAAACTAAGACCGGCTGGTCGCCCCAACCTACACTGTCTGTTTGTCTCGCTCGTCGCCACGACACCTTCTCGGAAACGGAAAAAAAACCCAAGGAAGATAACGTGATACTGTTAATAGCGTGCTTTGAACTTGATCACCCATACACTTAATTGAATCATTTCATTGAACTATTCAGAGCTACTTTAACGTGTTTTATTAACTTGCTATTAGCCTGTTGTCTATATTTATTAATTATTCTTTGCACGCTTTTTGTATTTTGTATATTGATTTTTTTAATAGGCTACTTTGAAGGGTGGGCACACTGAGCGATATAAATACGTTGAAGGCAAAGACAGAAGTGCCTTCATTCGACATAAAATGTACAAGGACACGAGTAGCTCTCAAATGCATTCCATTGACAAATTATAATGTGTCGTCATTAAAATTGTGTGTAAACTTTCCCAGTTGAATAAATTCACACCTTGTGCTTGTTTTTGCGGGTAAATACGCTCACCAAAGTCACACAAATGTTGTGATGATCACAAGAGACATCAGCGAATATAACAAATAACACAGTACAATGAACCCATTCACGGATTCCTTTTGAGCAATGGGACCCTATGTTCCTCACCGACAACACTAATATATACAAAACATTTCACTAGACTGGGTTAGGAAATACAACGTCATAGGCCCGAGAACGTTCTCAGCCCTCGTGAGTTGGGCTGAAAAGATGAAAATTTACATA